GTACTATAGTGACTCTCTCGAAATTGATCTTTTCTGTTGAGCTTGTGTTCAATAGGTCTCACTTATTCAAAACACTGTTAAGTTGTTTCACTATTTCTGCCACATTTTCAGGCAATCCACTCAATTATATTAGTAGTTGCAGACTTTGCAGGGATCAGGACTTTCAATATGAGGTGTCCTAACTTTTCATTTTGAAGACTTCAAGTCCTAGAGAAAAGTTTGTGTACGCTTGTCGGTTTATCTGCATTTTTCGGCGAGTTTTCATGGGGTTAGATTGTTTACCCGATACTCAACCATTCCCGTTCGCCTGGTTTTGTGACGAACACTTACCTCTAGGTTATCTCAACTGGACTTACAACTGAATGGATATCAAAAATATATAACAACCACTAGGAGCACAGGGTTAGTGTAGGTCGAGGACCTTGTTGTATTGTCATGGGGATAGGATATTTGTGAATGATGGTATACACACAAAGTGATGTTAATGAAAATTAAGGATATTTTTTAGATGAAGTCTGAGTATTACAGTAAAGCGCTTGATGAAAAATAGGCGATATTTTATTACTTCAGTACAGTGGTCTGCGATACATTTGATGACGGCTAAACGAAATTTAAAATATCTTTAGATTCTGAAGTACATTTCCACGTTTATATCTCCGTAAATAAGCCTCTTTCATGCGATTCGATCCGATAAGATAGTACGACTTACTTGGCTTACAAAATATTGAGTCAAACTCACATCATGTAACGATTGCTACGTCTGATTCAACCAGCCTGGTGACTTCGTTGCTCTGCTTCTTTAGTACCCCCAGATGATAGATACAAGATTGCCAGAATAATGTCATATATTTAGTAAAACAGAATGAAGAAGTATGGGGTGTAATAACACTACTAAGTAAGCAGAGAAATTCAGTTGACAGATTCATTCAGATCAGTCATCCATGACCTTCATGATTTCGGATAAATCGTATAACCTAACTGTGATCAGTCTTCTGTTGTTCGGATACTTTTGATTGGGACAGGATTCTTTGATACACTGATTACACTTCATACAGTACCAGTCAAATAAACAGCTTAAAAATTTGTCAGTTGGTTTTTAGATGATTTGGACTTTAGTTTGTTAATTTTGCATTTCGATACTATATCTATATTTACGTTGTGCATATTCATATTTTTAAACACTCGTCCTTTTTGAACATACATGAACATACATGTATCGGTGGTTTGAGTCAAACACATCTATCAACCAATTATGTTAGGGTCTCAAGCGTTATCCCATCGTGAATTAATAACATATGAGAAGGGATAGTCCAGATAAATAAGTATATTTGCTGGAGATTTCGTGGTATCGAAATAATACTGAAATCGTGCCAGAGAAAATAGGCGAAAGGTACAGAGCAACAAAAGCAAGGTGGCGACCGCGCAGAAGCAGAGTATGGTACAGATGTGCGAATAAATAAGAAGTTCAGTAAAACATCCACTGGTACAATTGGTTATAATAATGAATGTTTCTATTTAAACAATCGCATTTTCTTCTTAAAAGTGAAATCACTACAAGTTGCATGCGCTAATTTTTACAAGTATTCCACTTGAGGTAATTTTTTTACTTAGCATGTTTATAGTTTTATCATGGGAGACGATAATCAAACTACCTTTGCGTTTAGCTAAGTGACATTTCACCTGACTTTGCATTGTATTGGAATAACTTGATTTAATAAGGACTGCTGAAAAATGAACCAATTGTACTTAAATTGTGTAGTTTAGATGTTGCTGAAACATGCCGATGATGCGACTTCAAAATATCTCTGTTTGAGAATACATTACAGCACCTAACGATACAGAGTTAAAGATATATATTGTTTAAGTAACTTTAAACTAATGGTTAGAGGTTTATGAATTATTATAGTTCATACCAATAAAATTTAATAAGAGAACTAAACCTATGTAACAGCACACAATTTTAAGGGGTCAGACAGCCAGTAATGCCTTAATCAACCAGCACATAAACCATATGTACATTATTTAAAACCTGATTATTACATGTCTATCAAACAAGATTAGTGAATTAGTGTATTGGAAAATCAAGTAGTGAGAATTCCAGCCATTTTATATAAATTATCGATCTCCTAGTTTCGATGAATGGTCTCTGAGAGCTTTTATCAGTGTGGGGCACTTACAGATTAATAATAAATGACTGATCTAACTGCCATACCTATACAGTATCTAGTCTGTCATACGTATCAGTCAGTCAGTCAGTTGCAACGTAGAACTTCGTACGTAAGTACATCAGTTCATGTCGCCATACCACATCAACACAGAGATGTCAATTCAAATCCAATTGTAGAAGAGGTAGTAAAGGAATTAGAAGTAATCGGAGAGGTTAGGATTAGAAGATATTATTCAACAAGTATGATTCAGTGAGAAAAGTTTAGAAAGTCAAAACTAGAGGGGTTGAAGAATCCAGATTAGGATTTGAGAGAACACAAAGAATAAATGCACCGACGCCATTGCGAACGATTTTGAGCCATGTCATTCAAGGTCTCTAACCATCGATTATTATCATCTCGCGGACCCCAACCAGGTAGTCGACAACTACCGAAATGGCTCAGTCCACTCGTCAATGACTTCATGGATTTCTGCCATGTTTTGGTTTGGTCGCCCCTAACTTTCTTCCAACCTATTCCTACACTACAAAACAAAGCTCGACGAGGCAGTCGGTGGTTAGGCATACGCAACACATCTCCCAACCACCTCAACTGATGAAGTATCACCACTTCATCTATTGATCTGCCATCCTTACCTAGTACTCGTTTCCTAACTACAGCATTGATTACTCGGTTGTCCCAGGATATGCGAGCAATGCTTCGAAGACACCTATGATCGAAAACCAGAAACCTACGAATATCTTCTACTCTAACTGGCCATGTTTCACAGCCATAAAGTAAGACGGAGCGAACCACTGCGCAGTACACTCGTCCTTTAGTCAGCAAACGGATATCTCGCCTACGCCATAAGTGACGCAGGTTGGCAAAAGCCAATCGAGCCTTCTGTATCCGAGCTGAGATTTCGTCAGTCACCAGGCCATCGGCACTGATGAGACTCCCAAGATAAGTGAAGCGGTCTACACGTTCGACTACTTCACTCCCTATCACTAGTTCAGGTGCCGATGAAACCCAATCTTGAAGCAACATGTTGCATTTCGAGGGGGAAAACCGCATCCCGAACATGCTTGCATTGTTGCTTAGGATAGTCAGAAGACTCTGTCATACGTATAAAAGCCAACAAATGTTGTCACAAACATGTGGTTGCAGCCTTCTATAAATTCATGTTATATTGCTTCATTAGGGTTTTTATATAAAATTGGTTGAGAAAGCTTCTAAAGCATTAGAAGCTGAGAGACCACAGATTAGCATAACGGTAGCCCTTTGCATTACTTATCAATTATCTTAAAATTTGACTTTATAACAAGCTATAGGTCTTACTTAGTGAACACATGATTATTATATTCAGTGATTAACAGTGTTTGAGATTTTATTAGGTTTTGTCATCAGATCATCATATTATTTCACTTTGTATGAGCTTGTTTTCACTGATGAAAGCTTAAATTTCGGTAAAAATATGTTTAAAATGTGCATTTAATTGCGGCGTAAATAAATATAATAATTTTTAGTTAAGGTAATTATACGATTCTGACTTCTGTCTTATCTGGAGGTATGAAGTAGATTAAGGATTCAGAAACGTTAGTTTATCAATTTAAGGAAAACCGTTTGAGTATCTATCAACCTTTCGGTTTAGTTTCATTGGTCCCTAAAACAACTTACTTAAATATTTAAGACAAACAGCGACGTGTATTTTCGCGAAATGATCTTAGCTAGAACATCACTGAAAACCAAGATAGACTAAACTACTGTTTCATTCTAAGTCATCTTGAGGTTAGGCGTTTCCTCAAGACCGAATATCTTAGGTTTAGTTCCAGCACGCGCGTGCATGAATATACACTGCAAGGAAGTTGCAAACTAGAACAACAAGGTCATCCAATACTGATTTCAGGTTTTCACTGGTGATCTTTTTTGTTATTCACAATTATATAAATTTACCATGTATTGTCAAGGGCAATTTTACATTGGTTTTCAGGAGAACCAAAGAGACTGCACACGTTTTACCATTACTACATGAACAGTTCGGCTCAATCCTGTGGTGCTACCACACAGGTACCTGATACCCTGGTGGACCATTCACACCATTTCATATACACACACTAGTATATATATATATATATATTTCCGATCAGTGATCGCGTCAATCAATATGCACCGCATGAACAGGCCATTTCGACCCATCCCGCTTACATGACTGTCAAACTCATTATTATTAGCAATGGTGATATGTAATACAGCACCCTAATTACAATGGCCCTCGGGAATGTTGCAAAACAAACACCTATATCAATGAAATCAGTCACCCTGCTAACCAATTTTGTATATAGACAGTTAACAATGCTTACCAAAGCAAAGCCAAGCCATCCACAATATTCACAGCGAACCTCTAGTCTCATACGAGACCTTCAGCTCTATATAGCAGTATAGCATATGGTGTACACATATATGACGGCGCAGGATAGTAGAAGAGGCAGCCTAGCTTGATGCAAATAGGCCCAAACACTTCTATTACCTTTTGTCTCATGTCGGGCAATGACTTTTTCGCGTTTCCGAAATTTTCATTTTTCCATCATATGAGACCTGAGTTAGGGGTAGTATTCCTTCACTGGTGATCTAGCTGAGATCAATTCATGATTTTAACTGTGAACAAACTATGATCTTCACAAATCATCCATACTGCTGACCGATATGTTAAGTTATTTAAAACAAAATCAAAAACAATTAAAACAATGTCTTTTTCATAGTTCAAATGTTTTTTTACACATTTTATACAATAGCATTTGTTAAATCAATTCATTAAAACCAATAATTTCGACTAGTTTTGCAATTAAACAATAAAATCTCTACCTAATCATCACTATAATCATCAATTAATGTCGGATGAAATAATAAAGCTGACAAAAGAATTGTAACAAAGTAAAGAATAAAAAATATTCTATCTAATACAATACCGACTATTTTCCATTGTTCAATAATTTTCGCTTTAAATTCACGTTCTTTTAATTCTACTAATAATTGTCTTGCCGCTTTTGCTATATAATGAATATCTTGTTTTATATGTTTTAAAGATTGACGATCTTTACGACTGCTGGCTGCTACTGTACTAAAACTAACTGGGAAATAATTCTTTAATTGTGAATTTGAGGTTGATGCAATTTTATTGATTTTACCGTGTTTCATCGGTTTATTCCAGTAAAGAGATTTTGAATAGGCTTGTAATCGTTTTTTATGATTATTGTTATTGATTTTTTGTTGAAGTGCAGGTGTTGTTGTTGTTGTTCGAGTTAAATTATCATTATAATGATGATAAAAATACTGGTCATGATTCCAATTCTTTAAATCATCATCATCAATATTTTCAATAGAATTCTCATTTAAATGATAAGTTTCAATCATCTGATCATTTGAACAAGTATTTTTTATTGGCAAGGAATAATGTGAATTGGATAAGTTTGTATGAATTGGTACATTGTATTGTGTTTTATTCTGATCGCTGGACACATCATTAGTACTTGAATAACATTGGGGTGAAGATATTTGTTTGAAAAAATAACATGAACAATGTGTATTAGTCCCTGAGCAAATTGGAAGTTTTAATGAACCATTTGAATTGTATACCTCGTTGTTTATATTTCTATTCTTTAATGTTTTAGAAAATTCAGAATGAAATGGATATGATTGAGAAGTGTTCAACTGAACTGTACAGTATGGACATTGATTAACAGAATTACTATGATCATCTTGAAGTGTATTATTATATAAATAATCATGAGTTGATGATGATGATGACGATGATGTTGATGTTGAATGTAAAGATTTTGATACTAATAATGTTGAATTCATTTGAGGCAAGTCATTTAAACTACGATGTGAATAAGTATTGAGATGATTGAATTGTCGATTAGTATGACTTAAAAAAGATGACATTTTGACAGATTTTTGTGCTGATCGATTTAAACGTAAATTCATTTCTAAATTATCTCTTGTCTCAACTAATTCAAGTGCATCAATGTTGATAAAAAGTATTCGTCCCATCAACGAAGTGAACTGTTGGAGAAAATCAAGGAAAATATACAGTTAAATATGAAACTATTTAAAACAGAAAGTATGAACGGAAACGAGATATTAGTATGAGTAATGAAGTAAGTATATACGTTGTCAGTCACAGAATTAATACTACTTGTCCGTTCATAAACAAATGACTCAAACTTGAATTCTACTTCATACTTAAGATAGGAAATATTGTTAATATTTGAAATAAATAAGCATGGAATCCCTTTTAGCTCATTCTACTAGTTTATTATTTTTACTCGCTATGCTCTCCTCCTTTTTCGAAACATATTTTAATTAGTTATTTCAGTTTTATTGAAATTTATATGGATTATTACTTTTATTGTGTCATATTAGAGGATATAACTAAAGTCATCTTTGTAATTATTAATTACCGATTGGGAAAATTTCTTCTGTTACATGCCAAATTTTCCCATAACGGGGCTGCGAAAACTGCTAAGTTACACATTTGAAATCACAAATCGATCAATGTTAGACCACCATGTGAAACCTGGAAGCACTGGACGGCCGTTTCGTCCAGGTGTATAACTCATCAGCAGTGTGCATCCACGACTCCTGCATCCCGCAGGATTCGAACCCAGGACCTTCAGTCTTGCGTGCGAACGCCTAACATCCGGACCACCCAGTCGGTATCTAACGGTGTTAATGTCTAACTTCCTAATTTCGATAATCAATAATTTAAGACAATGATATACATAAACTAAACTATTTTCTTTGGTTAGAAAGTTGCAAAACAATTTATAGCTGTTTTATCTTGAAAATCTTGGTGTTCATACTTTGCGATTAACATATAAACGTATTTAGCTTTACTAAATAACATTATTCAACTGATTGATTTTCTTTTCAAAGTTAATGTTGATAGCAATAATATTTTGTGTTATTTTTTCAACTACTGTCAAATAGTGAGTAAACTGAAATATTTCTATAATCTTTTTTAACACATATTAACTATTTTGTGTGGTATGACAAAAAATATTTCAAGACATTGTAAATCTAACTCCATTTTAAGCAGTGCTAATAGACTGATAAGATAAAAAAAATAGGTTGTTTCACATTGAAATCATCAATCAATCATTGTTAGACCACCATCAGAAACGTGAAAGTAATGGACGACCGTTTCGTCCTGGTAAGGGAATCATCAGCAGTGCGCATCCACGACTCCTGCACATCGTAGGATTCAAACCCAGGACCTCCGGACTTGCGCGCGAACTCTCATCTCTGGACCACTGAGCCAGTAGCCAAAGGTGTCAATGCCAAGCTTCGTTCGATCCACGGTCTTGCGCAGCCCCATACACTGTCTTCGGCCGCTACTGTCTACACCCGAACAGGTTGAACTTCAGTGGTCATGATTTCTCACTAAAACTCGGAGAAGAATCCTCACGGAGCTAGTCACTAGTGAGCACATGTAACTGCATTATGGGGTAGTGAAGACTGTTAAGTTACACATTTGAAATCATGACCGAAGGTCCTAGGTCCGAATCCTGCGAGGTATAGGAGTCGCGGATGCGTACTGCTGATGAGTCCCATACAAGGATGAAACGGCCGTTCAGTGCTTCCAGGTTTCTAATGGTGGTATAACACTGATCGATTCATTATTTCAAATTCCATAATTATCCAATTCAGTTTATGTAGAAGTGGGATAAGTGAAAGAGTTCATTAGGTAACTTTCTTCCAGAAAAACCAAAAACATAGTATTATTCGGGCAACAAAATTGATAAAACTAACAAATAGCCTTATCAAGGACTATCACTTTTCACATTGTTATTTACATCAAAACTCTAATTACATTCAGTTTCAAAAATGCTCTAAACGTTTTTGAAGAAATTACCAATCAGGCATTTGTATTCGTTTTGAAGTATTTCTACAAACCATCTTCAACATTTCTCCTATCATATTTCAAAACTAGTTTATCAGTTTTTACCAAAAAAAAAACAAATTATAGAATCGTGATACAGATGGGAATGTAAACAATCATTACACTAAAAAAAACGAAGTCAACACAAATCTACAATAGAGATTATTCCTAAATTAATTACTAATCTCTTCTAGACGCCATTTTTAAGTAATGCTAATAATGTGTTAATAACATGAATGATAGTAATGTAACAATGTAATATCCTCAAAAAAAAACTAGTCATTAAAGAGAGAGACAGAGAGAGAAAACAAACAAACAAACAAAAGTGTGCTGCATTTTTTTTTCTCTAATTCGTAAAGGTTTTTTGTTTGTGTTTTGAAATGATTGTTTCGTTTGAGATAGTAGAACAGTTTGTTTTTGTTACTATATTATCTATGCATATTGTAGATAATTTGAAAGGATATGAAAGCAACAGTTACACCCATTTCCTGCTTAGATTAGCATTATTATTATCAGTGTAAACAAACAGAATTTGAAATGAATAAGTACATCAGAAAATATAGTTTGATTAGATAGATTCATGACAACACTATCACAGCTTACTTACTTACTTACTTACTGACTTACGCCTGTTACCCCCAATGGAGCATAGGCCGCCCACCAGTTTTCTCCAACCAACTCTGTCTGTCCTGGGCTTCCCTCTACAGTTCATTCCTCTCATATCTTTCTCTATACTATCACAGCTACTTACTATTATTATTTTTTTTCTAATTAAAATTCATATTTGTTATAAAATAGTATTGTTAATTATTTATGAAGAATATCTCATCATTAGTTAGTAGTATTGTTTTGTTTTTTTTGAAAAAAAAGAAGTCTATTCACAATTATTATTTATCTCTTATCATTTCATAAATAAGATTATAGAAACTATAAGTAACTAAGTAGTAGTAGTAGTAGTACTGCTTGTATGATACATTTTGTTTTCCAGTGTCCATTGAGTGTTCGTTTATATGAATGTAAGTCAATGGCATACAGAACTGACATTTTAAAACATTGATTATTATACTTTAAAATCGATAATATTTATATTCTTACGTAGAAATTTTGAAAATCACACTGCAGACACTATGTCATTATCCAAATAAGCGAGTGTGACGTCTTTTAGTCCTAAGTGTTTCATCTAAGATTGATTATTGATCATTGATTATTTGAATAGGATTCATGTGATGAAAAAAAAGTCAGGTTTACGTTTCTTTTCAAGTATTCTTTATTAGTTTAATTATCATCATTTTTTTTTATTGCTCACTGGCCTCAAAGAATCTTGCTTATTGTGAGATATAAAATGCTATGAGCTCAATAAATTTACGCGTCACATGTACTAGCGTATACATTATATAATAATATCATAACTTTCTCTTTGTTATCTATATTTTTATCAATCAATCATGTTTCATTGTAAGATTTAATTATAATCATGTCTAATTTTTGTACTTTTAGTATATTTTATAGTCATAAATCTACTTTGCATATAATTCATTATGATTTCTGTTGAACATGAAAAAATCCATGAATACACTTACTACCGGTTTGTGAAAGTCCCGATTAGAATAGAGTAATAGGGTAATATAGTATGTTCACATAGATGATTTTGTGAACAATTCGCTTGATAAATGCCTTATTTTGGTTTTCACGTTTGCCAGCATGGGCTGATCAGTTGACCTTGAGATTTCATTTCCCACCAGGAAAATCCATGGCTGTGATTGGCTGCTGTGTATTATACTGTGCTATTTTCGTGACTGTCCCTACGACGTTTCTATGATGTATAAATAAAGGAGAGTTGTATGCTTGATTGTACTGTGATTGCTGGGTGTTTGTAGAACATACTTCTACGCTGACAAAGCCTTCTTACCTTACTTTGGGATTCAAGGTAGTCTACCTGGACGCTGGTAAAAGTCTCGTTCGCGTTTATCGGCTAAGGTAAACTCGTAATAGCCTCAAGCATACTAAATGGCGAGCCTAACACAATTAATGTAGTTTGATGGCACCTTTATTTGACAATTTACACTGATGAACCACTCGAAAACATGTAACGTATGAAAAGTGTTTTGTTTCCATTTAAAACTTCCCTTCATTACTCATTTTACGCCACATTGATCCCGGGATTGCTAGGTAATATGGGGAAGCTGGCATCAATTAAACACTGAATAGGAACTTAGTGGTTCGCACTAGAAAGCTCAATCAAACATGACTAACTTCAAAATTGGTGTATTAATCGTCCCATGGAAACTTAGATTTTATGAATTCACTTCAGTAAGAAAAAACTCAGTCAACTGCATAGTGTACTGGATTTGTATTGTATCTCATCGAAAAACAATAGAACTTAAAAATTATGACATAAGGGATATGAGGGATGCTACTGAGATATCTAAAAGGTGTAGGATGAATCTTGTTAGTTAGATTTGAACTTGTCAGTTTGTGGTTCTTCACTCTCAGTACTGCTTCAGCTGATGTCAGTTTGTAATGAACGTTATAAGTTTGTAGTTTATTCAGTAATATTTTATTATGCCTAACGTAAAAGTTTAACTAAAAAATAAATTATATAACTATTAACATTTTGAATGACTGATACATAAATAAGGCGTTAAAAACAAAATGTAGTCAAAATTAACCATTCGTATTTATAGGTGTTCTATTATTCACGAATTAGATTTTACACTTGAACTCAAAGTTTAAAATAATATCTCAGCAGGAATACAAGTTCAATGAATCAAATAAAGAAAGTTTGAATTCAACTTTGATGATGAATTTTAATTAATTGATCAATTTTTCAAAGTAAAAGATCATATAGTTTTTTTCAAATGTTAATTAGTGAAATATATGAATTACACGTCATAACAATTCAGAAGTACGATCGATATAGAAAGTGTCATTTTAAAACGGAAACTAATTCTAAACTCATAAAGTACTTAAAGTGAGAAGCATACAATTCTAACTGAATGAAATCGATCATAAACCAAAGCGGTTGACAGTTATAGGCGTATTACTTTTTCACCTTCCTTTCGTATCAGTTTCATAGATGATGATATCGAAGGAGAAAAATTTATTGGTTAAAAACATGAGCATCATATAGGCTTTCGGAGCTTAACATTTTAGATTGTGTGGATAAACAATATTTACAAACTTTTATTTCACAGCGGCTTTAAACGCCTTTTCTAATTCTAATTTTTTTAATGGCTTTCATTACGTGTTCATCTTCTTTATAATTACCGTTTATACCTCTCTGGTGCGCTATTTCTACACTTTCCTACCCTTTAACTATTGCGTAACTTTATTTGATGCTTGAATTTTGAGGTTAACATTTCTGATATGCTTGAAACTATTAGGAGTTCACCTTATTCGGTAAACGGAACGAAGATCGGAGACACAAGATGCTATTCTAATCCGAGTGTCCCAGGCCCCGCTAACGAAAGCAAGAAGTCTTGTTAAGGCGTAGAGAATGTATCCTACAAGCATCCAGTAAAAACGAGGTTTCCAAGCACACAAATCAAGCTTATTTATACAAATGATAGCAACGTTATTGGGAGGGCCAAAAAATAGCGTACTAAAATAATCCATCAACCAACGACAGTCAAGGATTTTCCGAGGGGGGAACGTGAGCTGAAGGTCAACTAAGCGTCTTTGGGGCGAAAACATTAAAATTCGAAATGTCAGAAATAAATTACAAAATTCGGACATTACTCAAGTGAGTTGTGGGGATCTAACGTCCCCAAACAATTTCACAATATTTTTGTTGATTAAACAATATTTAACTTTTTTAAATTTAGAATACTATGTGTAAAATAATTATGCGTACAATGGAAAAAACGTTAATAAAAATCACTGGAAAAACAAATGAATATATAGTCGTCAGTAGTATAAAAAAGATATTTAATTTTCTAGATTCAATGTCAGATCAGTTCAAAATAAAAAACTATAGAGTTTTCGTAATCACAATTTACATTATTTGAGTAGCGATTTTAAAATGACTATGTTTAATCTATATTTTTAGACATTTTATAGAATTTAAATTAAAACGATATTTTGTTTATAAAAATTCAAACAATTTTAATTTAATAACTCCAGTGTTTCACTATGTAGTCAGGTCCAAGGCCTTTCATGGGAATAACAAAAATTTTTTTAAAAAAATTACCGAACATCAGAGCATTTATTCGACCTTCAATTTAGTCTTGTATTGGTTTAGATAAAGCAACAGGTACTCAATTCGACTCCGGGAGTGAATATCACTTCTTCGATGCAAGCATATTCATCCTGATTAGAATAAAACATGCATCCTATGAAATTCTACTCAGAAGCTTTTTTCATCATTAATCTATGGTATGAACATTTATTTATTGTCTTCTAATCATCGAAATGGTTTGAGTTTTCAGTAATGAATGAATAGTTAGAAAATCAATTCTTAAAAATCCATCTTACTTTTCTTAACCATTTAGATGGTTGTTCAGTTTCAGCTGTACGAAAATGTATATTAACTGTGATACAGCATAAAAACATTGAAATTGTAATGACACCCATATTGAAACAATAATATGCACCTAAAAACATGCAAAGAGAGAATATATATATATATACATATAGATTAATTTTTACTATGTGTATCAATAGAAAATTAGGTTAATGTATATTCAAATGAAATTGTGTAAAATAATTATTTTGGTCAATTATTTTATTCAGTATTATGTAAACCATCTTTGCTGTAATAAATTTCACTTTAATTTATCGATCAGTTGGATACATAACAACAATAACTGTCTACTATTTATCTCATCTCATTCATACAAAATTCATCGTACCAGAATATGTAAGCTAGATGAAATGGTTACGATCTATATGTATTGATCTCTTCATGTATACATTTCAAGTTGATTAGCTTCTTTAGAGAAAAAGAGATTACAAAACATAACCTCTTCACACGTACTTTATAGTACTTGTCAAAATGAGAGGTTTTCAGATTTTCGAAAGCGCTGTAGTGACTAGCCCTGTAAACAGACAATAAATAGTCGTCACAATATTTACACAGTTAGTAAATAGAAGGTAGTATTGAGGTAGCAAATCAATTGTAATTTTTACTGTTATCACTTTATAAGACATTTTTGTATCAAAAGCTAAAGATATTAGTAAATAATGATTCTGTTGGGGATGTTAGATCCCCAGAACTCGTTTGATAAATGCCTTATTTTGGATTTCACGTTTGCCAGCATGGGCTGATCAGTTGACCTTGAGATTTCATTTCCCACCAGGAAAATCCATGGCTGCGATTGGCTGCTGTGTGTTTCAGTGTGCTATTTTGGTAACTGTCCCTACGACGTTTCTATGATGTGTAAATAAACGAAAGTTGTGTGCTTGATTATATTGTGATTGCTGGGTGTTGTAGAATATACTTTCTATGCTTGTCAAGTCTTCTGTTTGCAGTTTGGCATTCAAGGAAGCCTACCTGGACGCTGGTAATTGTCTCGTTCGCATTTATCGACTAAGGTGAACTCGTAATAGCTTCATGCGTACCTAGCGACGAACATAACAGATTTATTTAAATTTATTTCTCACAAACAATATGTCTTCAATTATGTGTAAATACAGTTTAAAAATTCTTTAGTCAATAAGGAATAATTGTTGGTAAGTTTTGTGAGTTATCATCATGTCATTAGTATTCAAATAGTAAGCGAGGTTTATTAGTATTTACAGTAAACATCAAATGATGTGTAGTTGTTATGCTCGTCACTTGATATGCTTGAAACTATTACGAGTTCACCTTAGTCGATAAACGAGAACAAGACAATGAACCAGTGACACAGTAGCCTACCCTATCGGTTGCCCCAAACTAATTGACGGAAAAGTCTTGATATAGCGTAGAAAGTGTATTCTACAAACACCCAGCAAGCACACAATGAATCCAAGGACTCAAATTGCGTTTATTTATGCTCCATAGAGACGTCCTTGGAAGAGTCACAAAAATAGCACACTAAAATGACGCAGTAACCAGTCACAGCCAAGGATTTTCCTGGTGAGAAATGTGATCTCAAGGTCAACTGATCAGCTCATGAATAAAATTCGAAATTAAGACTTTTATCAAGCGAGTTCTGGGGATCTAACGTCCCCAACAGTAGTAATTAAACTATGAAGAATAAATAGTCGTTGATTTTAGAATGAATGAAAATATCAAAAGTAACTCGGAAGTGAGCGTAAAGAAGTAAAGTAAACAGTGATTCAGTACGAACGAGCTAAACGATGATGGATTCCATAATTAATAAAGTACTATCAAAGAGTGGGGAATAGTGACTTAATTCTCCACTCATTTCTCTGTGAAGAGTTTGTGATTTATTCTGAAGATAACTTTTAAAAACATACTTTCTAAAACTGTTTATCAGTTTGTTGAACAAATACTGTTAACTGGAAAATTTGAATGGTTTACAATTGCTAAGATGGAGTTAATGTCGAAAATAACTATTCTGATAAAGATCATTGATCTGCATTCACAGGAACTCTTAAATTCTTGTCTGAAAGTGGAAAGATTGTGGCATTTGTTGTTAACATACCAGAGGATTGATAAGGTCGATTATATCAAGTGTTCTCTTCACTTTTTCTATTGACTGGTGTCAATAGAACATTTTCTATAATATTTTATTTGAATTCACTGTTCATTAATAATCGTAGGTTTCTACACACTAATAGATTTTAATGCAGTTTGGATTGCAATCCATGTTTTTACCTACATAGAATATCGATTACATAGTTTTTATACGTATTAATAACCGGTTCGAATTTAAGAAAGCGAGAAACGAATTAAATATTCTTTCATAATTGATTATAAAATCCATGATAATCGATTTATTCTCTTATTCAGTAAATGAGTTTTCTAGGTGACAAACTGAGCTTTTCTTATCAGTAAAATATCAGAAATTATACATTTGACTGAGATTAAAATTAATCTTACTAATTATAGATCATAATTATCGTCACTATGATATATGCTGATACAGATACTATATATATTGGGTTGAATTTCCGTACTATAGCTATGTCCCAATATTGTAGATATTTTCTACTTATGAGTGTTAGTGAGTTAGAAATTGAGGTTTGGTTTCTTGTTGCAATCGATACATCTCACTGCATTTCTTGATTTTACAGATTTTACTTGGTAGATAGAAATAATATTCAATATCATTTATTATCCTTTGTCTGCTGTTACAATTGCGATTTGAAAATTCTCCTGGTTAATCATTTGTATTGGTTGTTTGGACTTTCGTCCTGGTATGCGACTCATCATCAGTGCGCATCCAAGATTCCTGCACTTCTCAGGAGTCGAACCTGGAACGTTCGGCCTTGCGCGTGAACGCCTAACCTCCAGACTGCTTGGTCGGCATCCAACAGTGTTAATGTCTAATTCTGATTGATCTAGAGGTTTTGCGCAACCTCACACATTTGTCATTGGTAGTTACTGCCTATACCCAATAGGGTTGAACTCCACCAGTCACGTTTTCTCACTAGAACTCCGAGAATCGCTTCACGAAGCTAATCACTAGTGGGCACATTTTACGACTTATGGAGGTGGTGGTCTAGCAATGATTGATTGGTGATTTCAATGTGTAAAAACAATGATCTCCATGACTCTAATTTAGAAAATAATATAAACTTCTTTGGACTGTTAAAAAATCTAAAGGTTCAACAAAAACAGTTAGTTATTTCTAATAATTTTTTTAGTTGGTTTATGGTTATTATGAAATCTTTATTTAATTAATAGAAGATATCGTATTCTAAAGATGAATATCTATTCTCCTTTCAAAAAAAATAATTAATTGAGCAGGTCAATTTCAGATGATTTACATATACTGTGTTGAAGAGTCCCAAACGTGCGTCTTAGATTCCCTTGCTAGTCACATTCAATCTTTACTTACTTACTTACTCCTGTTACCTTCCAATGGAGCATAGGCCGCCGACCAGCATTCTCCAACCTACTCTGTGCTGGGATTCTCTTTCCAGTTTTGTACAGTTTTTGTTCATTCTTCTCATGTCTGTCTCCATTTCTCCGCCTAATGTCTTCTTTGGTCTCCCACTTTTTATTTGTCCTTCAAGATTACAAGCGGGGCTTGTCTTTCGACGCAGTTCGGTGCTTTCCTCAATGTGTGTTTTATCCACTTTCACCGCTTATTCCTGATTTCCTCCTCCTATGGAATCCGGTTTGTTCTCTCCCACAGTAGATTGTTGCTGATGGTGTCTGGCCAATAGATTTGAAGTATTTTGCGTAG